TTTTTCAGAAATAAGAGATTATTCTTCGACCACTATTTTGACCCAAAAATCCAAATTTGAAGAAAATTGCCGACCCGAAGGTATACTGTAACCTTAATCCAAAAGTCCTTTTCACTAGCACACCAAAATTTCCTCTCTCGCAGTACTTTATTAATTTGAATTTCTATAAAGATGGTTTCCAGTCTGTACTGAGCACTCTCAAGAGTTTTTTTACATTTTTTGTTTTGTTTCATGTAAGACATTACAAAATGTAATATTTTGCAATTAGTTGAAGTAAATTCAAAGTTTCATGTCAACTGCCATTATGGATGCAAAGCTTTATGCTTCGTTCTTTCTCATATCACTTGATGGAACAAATTCGCAGCTGTAAAAATCAATGATTTGTTGGACAAAGAATTTGAAATGCCTCAAAGATAAGGTATGTGGGTTGTTAGGTATAACATTTGCATTACATGGAGTGAGACCCATAAACATTAGGTTACTGAGACTGCACAGTACAGACTGGAAATCATCTTCAAAGAATTTTTCCAAGAAACTTCACTTGCCAGTTGGACAACTGAAGGATGGAATCCGCTAGCTGGACTGCAAAATCCACTAGCCCTGGGTTATGGGACACAACTTTCTATGCACGCTTGCATAGAAATACATGGAATGTGGCAACTTTGGGTATATATACAGTGTATGACCCAAAATCAATCAGTAAATTTACAGCAATACCCAAGTCATTATCAGGATGTATACACCAAACTTGCAATGTGATTGTCAAAGTGTCTAAAATTCTTTGTTTTATGTTAAAGATGATCAAAGACATAGAAGACATAGTCGAAGTCGCAGTCGAAGTAGAAGCCCCAGGAGAAGAAGAAGAAGTCGTAGTCCAAGAAATGTGAGTAACAGTAGGTAGTTACCAGTAAAATAAAAGTAAAAGCTCATTCAGACTCAACTTTAACAAAAGTTTCATGATATGATTTACGAGTAATTTCGTTGCACACAGTATTGCTTCTTTTGTAGTTGCATTAATTTATGGTCAGGTTTTAAGTACGTACATGTAATGGTTTCTGTTTTTTTTAATTTTCCTATACGGTAAGTTGTATTGAGAGCAATATTGTTGTCAAGCCCTCCAGTGGTGTTACAAGAGCTATCTCATCTCAGAGATCCAAAAGCTGCTAGTTTGTTTCTCCAGTGTTTTTAAAAGTCCGGACATTTTCCTTTAATTTGCGATTTATTTACAACTCAATGCAAGTTTTCTTGCATTACCCAGTGATTCCAGTGCAGTCCTAAAAGGTTACGTTTTGTAATAAAACATGCCAATGATGCATGCATTCATGAAAGAGTTGTGTTCTTGTAGATTTGTAATATAAAGTAATTGTAGTTTGACTATTGTAAAACATGATTTACAGTGAAATCCTTATTTCTTGAACTCTAAACTTCTCCCTCATTACAGTAGAACTCTAACCAGATGTTTCTTCCCTTGGATNACATTGAATTGAAATGAGCGAGGTAAATTTTGAGAACTGTTGCTTTGCAGTTACAAAAGAAAATACAACCAGTCTCCCCAGTGTCGGCGTTTGTTGCAATGGCTCACCTGTATTGTCATGATGTTAATTTTGCCTAGTAAATTTTGTTAATGATAATTTGGGCAGTACTGGTTTATTTGGAGACTATATTTCTGTTTCCTTGGAGGTACAAGTCCAAGGATTTGAAGACCGAATTGATTGCAGTCACTTAACATAGTCTGTAGTTCTCTTCTTTTATTTGGAACAGAGTAGATAATCATAAATTATATCATAATTATTGCACATCATGTGTGAAACAACCAACCAACCAACCAACAAACAGGAAACACATTTAATGTCAAATATCTTTTGACTGTTATGTTGTGAGCTGTGTCACATGTACTGTGTAGGAACACAAAGTTGCTTGAGTTTAACACTCTTTGATAACTCACATTGCCTTAGTCTACAAATCAACGAGACAGTGGACAACGTTTTGATGAGTTTGGTCGCGATTTGCGTCCAGAGCAGCACAGAGATTCTTCAGAGGTGAGTGACTAATCTTTTACGTTTTCCTTTTCATAGCATAAACGTCAACTGTAGTTCTTGTAAACTACGGTACTTTAACCCTGATACAGGCTTACTTCCTGTTTGTTCCCTGAAATAGCATGTGTACTATTTTAATAGGCAATAGAGCACTTTTTCTGTGGTTACATAGCCTCATCTAAACACAAGGTGAAGTTCGGAGAATTCGAGACTGCATCTTGGGTTTGCATAACTTTCAACGATTCTCCCAACCCCCAAAAGTGTTTAGATGAGGCTATGTAAACATGTAACAAGTACTCTATTGCTTTTATAAAATATTTCTGAAAAATATGCTTAATCTAAAACATCACAACCATCGGGGCGTAGCTATGAGGGGTCCTGGGGTGCCTGTGATCCCCCCCTTTTGTAAGCCTTTTTTAAGCAAACAACCTACAACAGGTGGCGAAATGACACGGCAATCTGGTGAGTACCCTCACTTTGACACCACCCCCCCCCCTTGAAAAGTCCTGCTACGCCCCTGACAACCGTGTTTTCATACTCTCATCTGAATACACTTATTGACCAATGAGAGTGTGCATAGTATCTCATTTATTTTGTAAGTTGACTTAAAAATGGTCAATATTTATGGGTACTCAAGAATTTTGCAATTACCCTTGCTGTGGATTCTTTGGCAAGCCTTCCATGCTTGTTTACAGACAGTGCACTGATTTAGGCTGCAAACAGGGTTGTTCACAACACTGTAGCAAGGCAAGTAGGGAACAAGGTACATTTTTGGGAAGAAAGCACTGATTTATACATTCCAGTCCAGAAACTAGAACTGTGGACCCAGGTCACTCTTGAGGACACTTTGTAATGTTGTTTCGCTGTGCGATGTATGCCAAGAAATGAAGCTCCTCTAATTCTTTATGTTGAAGCAGATCTGCATCTTTCTCCTGTATGTACACTAGCCTGTCCCAGGTTTCTCAGTAGTTGGGGAGAAATGAGAAAAGAGGGTGAGTGAGAGAAAAAACGAGGGAGGACTGAGGCAAGGAAGGTCCCTCGCCCTTCCCTTCCTCGCCTCAGTCCCACCTCGTGTTTTTTCTCGCTCGCCTGTTTTTTGCTCATCCCCAACTACTGGGAGCCTGAAACAGGCTACATTTACACAGAGTTCTGATAAATTCTGGCCAAAGAGTTGTCCAATTTACAATGTTGTTTGTAGTGGCCTTTTGCAAAAACAATTAGTTACATGTTACAGCTCCTTAAAATGGAAACATATAGTATAAAATAGAAACTACCACAGGTTACACCACAAAAATAAAAAGCATATTAATTTTCATAAAATGTACCGTATTAGTGTAGTACTTGTCATTTAGACAATAATATTTTTCAGAGACAAAAACACTAACTATTTTTCCTGAAGGTTGCAACTGTCTCCTTTTAGGAAAAGGATAAAGCTAGTATTCAAAGGAAAGAAAAGGAACAGAGTCCACCACTCAGGAAAAGTCCCAGTGAGAAAAGGGATGCTGATTTGGAACGCTCGCCAGTTAGGCGTGGCTCTCACCCATTGGAGAAGGGTGGAAAAGAGGGGAGTCCATCTGAGCAGAAGCCCAGAGTCTGTAAGTCCATAGAAAGGGACAGTCCTTCTCCTCGACGGAGAGATTCACTGGATAGAAAAAGTAAATCTCCTGATAGGAGGCGTCACAGGAGCAGATCTCGCGACAGAGGTGATTCCAGTGAAAGGAAGTCACCAGACAGATACAGAAGAAAGGATTACAGAAGAAGCCCACCAAGAGATTTTAGAGGTAAAACTTCATATTCCCACTGCTGTAGGGTCTTATCAAGTAAAAGCAGGGTTGAGAAAAACTGTTGGGTCTAGCAGGTTGAGTTTTAGCTAAATGCTCGTCTGTGGCTTGTAAACCAGAAAATATGTTATCTTTCCTGAGGTCCTATAACTTTGGACCATTGCAAAGAGTGTTTTCAGTTGTTCAAGTTTTGAAATTGTTTCTAGATCGAAGAGCCAGCAGCGACTACAGCTCAAGCCGACGCCATGATAGAGACAGAGACCGAGACAGGGACAGGGATAGCAGAGGCCGGGATTGGGGTAGAGATCGACGACACGCCCGAGATCGTGACAGAAACAAGGAGCGTGACCATGACCGTGACAGAAACAAGGAGCGTGACCATGACCGAGACAGACATGAGGAGAAAGCTGCCTCTTCAAGTGGTGAAAAGAAGACGTTTATAAAAGGTAGGAATCTGCTTTTGATGGTGAATGTAATGCATGTAGATATTCCTCTACAGTAGTGTACTGTAATGTAGCAATGATTAAGAGGCGCTGCGCCTAAGAAACGACCGATGATTTTCGGCTAAAAAATAAAATCGGCCGATTTTTATCTCCCAAG